AAAAAAAAAAAAAAAACTTAAGCTGATTTAGAGTTGTTAAATATTTAGTGAAATGGGTATAACGCATTTTGTGGGAATGGGGCAAAAATGAAGTGGGGACCCTCCCACCTTATGTGAGGAAATGACTCAGGAGGCTGAAACAGGAGGATCACAAGTTCAAGGCCTCAGTAAATTAGCAAGGCCCCTTAGTGAGACCCTGTCTCAAAAGACAAAAATTAAAAGGGCAGGGGATGTGGCTCAGTGGTAAAGCACCACTGGGTTCAATCCCTAGTACAAAAAAAAAAAAAAAAAAAGTATAAATCCAACTAATAGACTGCTAAATATTTTATGTCCTCCTACCTAGAAAAAAAAAAGTATTAGTATGGAGAATTGCATGGGGGAGCCTGATTCTCTTTACTCCTCACAGTCGTCTCCATCCTGCACCATGAGGGCTTGGCACTCACATATGGGGATGCCCCAGCCCTGAACATCCCTAGGCAACTTGCCTGCCCCCCACCACTCATGGCCTGTGATTGCTCACACAGGAAGCCTGATGTATCTTACCAAGGCAGACCAAGTGAAGAGACCCACTTATCCCAGGAAGCAGGCTCAGGATGGTTGGGAAGAGAATTCCAGGGTCCTGAAATTTGAAGATTTGGGGAATGGGGTAGTCAAGGCTCCCAGACCCGGCAGATTTCTTGCTCAGAGGTAGGGGCATGGTGAAGAAGGCCAGCTGGGGCCTCTGAAGCTTGGGTCTCAGGGCTAAGGCCCTACCAGACAGGCCACAAGTAAAGGAAGTACTGGTGTGAGACTAACAAAAAATGATAGGATTCCCAGAGTTGAGAATCCTTTATCCCAAATATATGGAACTTATACATTAATGTTTATAATCCTTTAAAGTCTGTAGGCTTTGATACTACAAGTTGAAATTCCTAATTTCAACCCTCCTCTATCACTGAGCTATGTCCCCAGACCATTCTATTTTTTAAGGCAGGGTCTTACTAAGTTGCCCAGTCTGGCCTCCTACCTCAGCCTTTCAAGTAGCTAGGATTACAGGCATGCACACACACCTGGCTCACAAAAGCTTTTTTAAATAAAAAACCAGATATGTCCCAGGTGGAACAGTGGGTGATAAACATGTTATGTATGTTAGGAGTGTCCCACGTTCATAAGACTTTAGTGTGCATTGAGCTGTTTCGGAAGAAGGAAACATTCCCAGGCTTCTCCAGGCCTCAAGTCACACAAAATAGGTTTTTAAATTCTGTCTCCTAAGAATCAGATATGAAAGCTTATGGGATTTTTAGATTATAGGACTTGAAGCAAGGAAATTCCTTCCTCAGTTTGCTCTGGGTAGTTTTTTGTTTGTTTTACCAGGGATTGAACCCTGAGGTGTTTTACCACTACACTACATCCCCAACTCTTAATTTGCTTAGGGCCTTGCTAAATTCTGAGGCTGGCCTCAAACTTGCAATCCTCCTGTCTCAGGTGCTGGAATTTCAGGCGTGTGCCACCAGGCCTGGCTGCTCTGGGCAGCTTTGTTAAAAACATGAAGCACAGCCTGGGGAATCCCTGTAGTATATTATTAATAAATAAGCATTACAACCAATCTTCACAAAAGCTATATCTAAGAGGGATCCCTCCCTTTGCAAAGAGCTATCTGGGGATATACAAGACACACAGAGGCCTGTATTCACGTAAAATGTGTTCATTTGTCGTTGGCCAAACAAGGAGCCCATTACCACGACTTGAGGGACAGCAGCTGAACAAGTCATCAAAGCAGACTATGGGTGTTTGCTCAACCCAAAACTAAGGAGACTAATAGCACTCAACGACTATCAATGGCTGTTTTACAGAACAGGAAAGACCCCAGCAAATTAAGTGACCTTAGGGAGACTATCTTTTAAAGTTACAAGTGATAACTAGAAGAGTTGTATTCTATTTTCATAATTGGCCCCTAAATTCTTTTTTTTTTTTTTTTTTTTTTTTTTTTTGGGCAGGGCTGAGGATTGAACCTAGATCCTTGAACATGCTAAGCAGTGTTCTACCAGTTTCCCCAGCTCATTTGTTGAAGACTATCTCTTCCCCCACTGAGTGGTTTTGCACCATTGTCAAATACCATTTGATCAGACATGTGAGATTTATTTCTGATCTCCTTAGTTTTCCCGACATTTTATTTTGAAATGCCTTCAACCTGAAGATAAATGGAAATAGTACATGAATGCTTATATACTCTTCATGTAGATCCGGGTGTTATGAACATTTTGCCACATTTGCTTTCTCACTAGCTCTCAATTTAAACATTTTTTGAACAATTTTTAAATTAAATTCCTAATGCTATGACACTTTATCCCTTCAGCATTTATATTCTAACATTTCTCTTAGAACCATGAAACCATTATTGGTACCCAAGATTTATTTCCTAAATGATTCAGATTCAACTCCCCAATTTCCCAAAAAGGTCTTTTTATAGATTTTTTGATTTTCACTCCAAGCCAATCAAGATGGCTTGGTGGCTCTTCAGAAGCTAAACATATAATTAATTACATGACCCAGAAATTCTACTTCTAGATATATTCCTAAAAGAATTGAAAGCAGAAACTCCAATGGGTACTTGTATGCCAGTGTTCATTTCAAAAGAAAAATGTAGAAAAAGGTAGAAACAACCCAAGATGAGAGGATAAACAAAATGTGGTATATGCATGCAATGGAATACTACTTAGTCCTAAAAAGGAATGAGATTCTGATACAATATGGATGCACTTTGAAAATTATGCTAAGCACTCCAAAAACAAAAATACAAATAAATTTCACTTCATTAACTATATAGAATAGGCTAATTCACAGAGACAGTAATAGAACAGATATGTTTTGAATTATATACCTAAAAATGATAAAATGAAGAGTTTCAGTTTGGGATGGCGAAAAGTCCTGAAGATGGACGGTGAAGACAGATGCACAACAATGTGTTTAATTTTATACACCATGATTTAAAAAATTATCAAAAAAAAATCACACCCCTCTAGCGGGGGGGAGGTGGGGTGGGGGAAGGTTGTCAGCCTATCCCAAGCATTCTCAGCAGCACTATTAACATTTTGGGCTGGATAAGTCCTTGTTGTGTGGGACTGTCCTGTGCATTTTGGGATGTTTAGCAGTATCCCTAGCCTTGACTTGATCACAGAAGGATCTCCCCGGTACTTCCAGAAATTGTTCAATGTTCCCTGGCAAAAGGGGCCACAAATGGCTGGGGATATAGCTCAGTTGGTAGAGTGCTTGCTCATATGCACAAGGCCCTAGGTTTGATCCCCAGCACCAAAAAAAAAAAAAAGTGTGTGGGGGGGCCACAATTTTCCTCAGTGGAAAATCACTGGCCTATGCTAACGTTGCTGACTAGGTGAGCATTGCTTGAAACTGCTTTTGTTCCCTAGCTAGAGGTTCACTGAGTCTCCCATTGACCTTGGATTTTTTTTTTTTTTTGGGGGGGGAGTGTGCGGGTACAGGGGTTGCTGGGGATTGAACTCCAGGGCACTAGACCACTGAGCCACACCCCCAGCCCTATTTTGTATTTTATTGGTGTCTCTCTGAGTGGCTTAGTGCCTTGCTTTTGCTGAGGCTGGCTTTGAACTCGAGATCTTCCTTCCTCAGCCTGGGATTACAGATGTGTACCACTGTGACCAGCTCCCATTTGACCTTGGTATTTTATTGGTTTTACCACATGAATGGATAGTCTTTGAGCAGAGTTACATTTTGAATATAGTTATTCTACTTGTGACAGAAAAGGGGAAACTAAAAATTCTGGAGAGGTCATTTCACTCTGAGGCTTCTTTCTACATATCTTGAATGAATTCATCTCTTCCATCTTCCTTTTGCCTTGCTTAGAATTTCAGTGGAAACAAATCAAACAAGTTTGACAATGATTTAACAAAATTCTTTAATAAAATTTATAAAAAATGCTTCCTTAAGAATAAATTTCTCAGCTTGAATTGTTTTCTTCTTCCACTCCCAAAGAAAATACAAAATTATCAGCACCCACACACATTTACACTCAAAACTTATAGTGACATTCTCTATACCTACCTCAGATAGTTTAAAATGCAAAAATCAAGACAATTCCAACAACTGATTGCAGACATAATTTTTTTTTCCTTCCCAAAATAGTTGACAGTAAAGCAATTTCAATGCAACTCTTCTGTAGTTGCCCAAAGTTGAAATTTGCATTTTGAATTAAAAAAAAAAAATCAAATCAAAGTAATTTTCTTCCCCTTACTTAACATACATTAGGGCAGTGTTTACTTCCTGCTTCTAAGAAAATACAATGGGATTTCTAATATCTACAGTTTTCTGTGTGCAGTTAGAATCAGGCAACTATGTCCAGATCAGCCAGTGTTTTCTGTAGACCCATTAAAAGCAGGCACTTGGGGATTCTGGGCTTTGGGTACAAACCATGGTATAAAGATCCTGGGTAGGAAACATATGCTGAGATTCCTCCATTCTGCCAGAATTTTGAGGGATAGAGATCAAATCACTTCAATGATCCTCAGCATGTTTGCTAAAAGGCCAGGCTCGGTGACAAGCTCTCTTTGCCATCTCCAAGTCCATCTCTCATACTTCCTTTCTGGCTTTGGCAGCACTATAGGCACTATTCTACATCCTAGAACACATTGCTCTTTTGTGTCAGTGATAAATAGACATTAAACACTAAGTGGCACCTGAAAATTCACCACACTTTCTGGTCCAGGTTCCCATACAGAACCAAACCACCCCGCAATGACATTTGCATAGCAAACCCGGACTGAGAACAAGTAAATGCATAGATGCCCATTTCAAGTCAGTACTCAGGAGATGAAGAATCCCTGTCCCCCGTAGAGCAACTTAAGGGTGGAGGCTAGAACACAGGACATACCAGTGCGCTGATGGGGGGAAAGCACACAATTAAAAAAAAAAAAAAACTTTTTATATATATATATATATACATACACACACACACACACACACACACACACACACAAACAAAAACAGGACAATTGCTCTTCCCCTTCCTTTTAAACATAAGCAATGCCCCCTAGGGAAATCTACATGTGGTTAGGAGAACCTTCTGAGACTGAAGTTTGTTCTTTTGAAATATTAAAATTCGGGGAACTTTGGGACGTCATCACTCTGAAAAGAGTGATTAAAGAAAAAAAAAAAAAAATTCAAGCACTATGTCAAACCTTTCTAACAGACCCAGATTAGAACTACAAAATGGAAACAACTATCTTTACGGCATCTCAGATCAGTCTCTCTCCCCAGGAACTCACGTCTAGGGAAGGTAGCTAAAAAACCCCCAGCAACATTGCTCCTCATTTCCCATCACTCGGGCCAAAGGAACCCTCTCCAGAGCGCCCTAGTCGTCCTCGCCACCCCCGTACATGTCTGCCAGTTTCTTGAAGCGATTGCCCCATTCGTTCAGGTAGTCATAGTCCTGGTCCTGGTCCGATTCTGAGGAATTAAGCGAGCTGAGACTGGCAGCTTCAGAACCGCTTCCTTCATAGTCGAACACCAGCAGAGAATCATAAGGGGGCGCTGTGGGGTCACTATCAGCTGCCTTCAGGTTCTAAAGAAGAGAGACAAGGAGGTCTTTCAGTAAAAGGAACACACACTCCTGGGCACGAGAAGGCATTGGAGGCTAGATACCTCCTTGTGGTGTTTCAGGTGACACATGCAGTGGTGCACACCTGTATTTCCAGTGATTTGGGAGGCTGAGGCAAAAGGATGGCAGGTTCAAGGCCAGCCTCAGCAACTTGGAGAGACTCAGTATCAAAATAAAAAGTAAAAAGGGTTGGGGATTGTAGCTCAATGGTAAATCACCCCTGGGCTTAATCTCCAGTACAAATAAAAGATTGTGGTGGTGGTGGGGGGTCCTATTCCCCAAGAATCCAGTGGCTTGAATGGATACAACTTGGCTGCCCACCTTAATGCATTGTTTTGTACAGTCCTCAGTGTTAGTGACTCCCACAGCAGACTAAGTAAAACCAGCCTCAGCCTCCAAGGGCCACTAGACTACCAGGCTAGCCCTGAAAAAACTAACTGAGCAAATGATCACATGAAATAGCTTAAGAAAAGGAAATAGTCTTTGTTGGACTGTTCCCTTACTGGGTTCTTTAGTCATCTCACTCCCAGTTCTTCCTCATTTTATCCTGAGCTAATGAATTTAATGCCTTATTATTCTCCCCTGCAGGCAGGAACCATCTGTGCCAGTTCTAGCCAATAACATTTTGGGCAAATTCCTTTCTTGAATATGGTGGACCAGAAGAAACATTTTTGTCATCTGTGCTGCCTCTCTTACTTCTTCCTGACTGAACGATGGACTTGAGGCCTGGCAGTGAGGAAGCCATCCTGTGATCACAAGGCATCAACCAGGAGAGCAAGCACTTCTGCATACTAAGAGCATGCAACAGAAGAGTGGGACAGCCCCACGCACTATCTGGGACAGCATACCCCAGCCTTCTGTTTACACAAGGTAAATCCACTCCTATCTGTTTAAGCTTCTCAATCTATAAACAGAATGAATTTCTGACACATACAATACGGATTTTATTTTTCTGGCTGTAAGTAGACTACGATGCACATTTAACATTATGTCCCAACCAGTGGTGAGATACAGGGGATCCCATCAATGAAAACAAACTCAACTTACTTTGCATCCTTTAATTTCATTTCTAGATCTACTAAATGCTTTCAAGCAATTCTTGGTTTTGTCCTATAGACTTTACCAAATTCCCTAAGACTAATTCAAAGTGCTGTCAATTCTAAAGTTCACAGAAGATACAAAAACAAGAGGGCTCAGGGATTAGGCAGGCTAAAAGCATGATAAAGGGATGAAGCTAAAGATCCTTTGTCTAATTTTTATTATTTTGTTTTCCTCTCTTTACTCTGGAGTTTAGAGGTATGTTGTGCTTTGATATTCAACTTTGCTTACTTACTTCATCAATAAAATTTCCAATTTCATCAGGATTGGCAGGGCGGGGACGGTACTGGGGCACACTCAGGAGGGTTGGTGCTACATCATTACGAGTCACTTCTGGCCGAGCATCCAGGCCTCTGTGCAACTGGCTCAAGTCAAAGTCCTTGGAGAAAAAGATAAAGGTATGACAAAAAGAAACAGCCACATACATAAAGCCATGTTCATGTTATGCCTTAACTACCAACTGTATGATACCTACCAGCATATGCCCAATTTAATATAAAATGACAGTTTTCAAATTAAGAGTCTCCCAACTAGCACTGAAAGAAAACAGCTTGAACGAGTAACAATTGAGATGAATATAAACTGTTAAATCTTACTTGCTTTCCATAGAATAAAATGATTAGATTATTATTCAGCAAACATTTACTCCCTCCCCACCAGAGCCTTTATGAGAAGAGTACACATCCATTCATGTTGGCCTTTGTCACGTGACTTGTTTTCAGCAAGGTGACAACAGGCAAAAGCTTGAAAGGCACTAGCCTGCTTGTACAAAGGAGGAACAGACCTGGACACAACTTGAGGCTTTGAGTCATTCATCTAAAAATCTGCCAAGGTCAGTGAGCTGCAGCCAACCTTCAGATTCTTGTGAATTCCACTGAGATTAGCAACTGCCCCAGCTAACCCACAAATGCCTGAGAAAGGTATGCTTATTGATGTGTGCCACTGAAATCCTGGGGTTGTGTACTATATAGTGGGGCTGTGATAACTGTTCACTCAAACAGTGTACCCTCCGATTAGACTTAAAAACGCCTTGAAATCTGGAACATTGAGTAAGACAAAGACAAGTCCATTTGCAAACTCAGGCAAAAACAGAGAGGGCCTCAAGAATTAATATCTCAGGCTGGGGATGTAGCTCACTGATAGAGCACTTGCCTCACATATGCAAGGAATGGGGCTCAATCCCCAATCCCACACTCAGATACACAGTCGAGGTGTGGTGGCACATACCTCTAATTCCAGTGACTTGGGAGTCCAAGCCAGGAAGATTGCAAGTTAGAGGCCAGCCTCCACAATTTAGCAATTTAGTTGAGGCCCTATCTCAAAATTTTAAAAAATCAAAAAAGGTATAGCTCAGGACTAACACTATCGAGTTCAAGCCCCAGTACTGTGGAGGGAAAAAAAAGACTTAACTTCTAAAAAAGCAAACAGTTTGGCCTAACTAAAAACTCAAGAGAAACCAAATATTAAAATAGGTTGCTATTCTACAATAATTTCTACAAATTATCTCCAAAGACAACTTAATTGAAGTTCATGTCCCGACAATACAAAGAGTGTAGGCTCTGAAGCCAGACTAGGTGTATGACCTTGGGCAAGCCATACAACTGCTCTCTGCCTCAGTTCTCTCATCTGGGTACAGTACAGTAAGCAATGAATAAATGTTAGTTATGCTGGTAAGGATGATAATGATGATACCTAATGACAATGTCCATTTTAGGGGGTTTTTCCTTAAGAATAATACACAGAATGGCACAGCTATTTCAATGTCTGCCTTCTCCTTATCAGATAGAGCTTTTATGTTTCAAAAACCCACCTGGTCTTCTTCTCCACCTCCTTCTTCATCATAGTAATAAACGTTGTCCCGGGTGTCATCTTCTGGTGGCAGTAAGGGCTCTTTGACCACCCCTCTCCTCCGAACAAACAGCAGAAGCAGCAGAAGCAGGACTGGAGGGGGAGAGGGAGAGAGTGATGTAAGCTACGGGCAAGGAAAGCCAGAAGCTGCCATCACAGAGTACCCACAACTTACATTCCAGACCAGAGGCAGGCAGACAGCAGCCACTGGCCACCTTTAACACATATGCAGTCAACCCACATGAATGACACTCACGTACTTGAATTTAATAAATGTGATACAACATAGCTGACTACGATGCTTGAATTACAGTGTGTTCTTTAAGTTTCAGATGGATCTTAAAACCAATCAAAGTCATTTCCCCCAGATTCTGGGGCAAAGTGTTCCAGGAAGAGGAAATGGTAGGGGCAAAGACCCTGAGGCAGGTGTGTACTTGGTGTGATTGAGGAAGGGGGAAGAGGCCAATGTGGCTGAAGTAGAAAAGAGACTAGGGATGGGAGGGACCACTACAAGGCTATGGCTTTGATTCTGAGTGAGTTGGAGCCATTCAAGGTTTGTGAGCAGGGCTTCTGGGACAGTCTAAATGTAATTGATGCATGCCTGTGATTGTTAATCTGTTACAGCAACAGATGAGATTAGCAACTGCTACAGACTACAGAATCACCTGACATGTTCTTAATCTTAAAACAAAGATTGTGAAGGAAGGGAGGAAACAGGGGGACAGCACAGGAAAGACAGTGGAATGAATCTATTTTAACTTTCCTACATACAAATATAAATACACCACAGTGAATCTCTTCATCATGTACAACCACAAGATTAGGATCCCAATTAGAACAAGATGTACTCCATGTTTGTATAAATTCCAAAATATATTCTACTGTCATGTATAACTAAAAAGAACATTAAAAAAAAAAAAAAGATTGTATAAGCAAGCTAGCTCAAGCTTTAAATTCTATTTCCAAAGTTTTCACTTGATTTTGAGATTATAATTTGAATACATACATCACTTAAAAAATTATATTGTGAATGGGGAGGGAAAAGGATTCTGTGTTTTCATTATTTATTTTTGCTTTAATTATTTTTTGTTTTCGTGTGTGTTATAGGTACAAGTGCCCAAGCACTTATACACTGTATTTTGGAGAAGCATTATCTCATTGAAACAGGAGGTTTCCATAAACTTGGGAAAGATTCCTTACATGCACTCTGCCTATTGCTTCTGAGCCAGGATGGCAGAGGTCTTATCCAGATAAATAATGTAATTCATGGATGAAAATACTGAGTATTCGCTAATTGCGCCATGGGATATGGCATGAATGAGACACTGCAGGCTGCAAACAGTTCCTAACCATGCAGAATCTTATGGTTGCTTTCCCAAAGGATGCTTTATTTTATTTTTTTCCATTTACTTGTAGATCTGTTTATTTTTTGTCTTCACCTAGAATATCCATGGATAAATGTTTTATTTTGTTCACTGATACCTCCAGCATTCAGAACAGTGCCCAGCACTCTTATATATCCTGGGAAACCTGGTTATTGATATTAGTATGCATGGTTCTGGCATAATGATTTTTTGTTGTTGTTCTTTATAGATAGACATGACAGTAGAGTGCATTTTGATATCATACATACATGGAGCATAACTTATTCTAATTAGGATCCCATTCTTGTGGTTGTTCATGACACGGAGTTTCACTGGTGGTATATTCATATATGAACATAAGAAAGTTATGTCCAATTCATTCTACTGTCTTTCTCAAGGGATGTTTTTGGTTATACCAAAAACCCAGTGCCCCCAGTGTCTGACAAAGCCTGGTGCCGAATAAGCGGTTAAATATTGGTGAAATGCAAGAAAAGCTTCATGTGTTTGTGTCCCACCTGTATTCACTGAGGCTTGGAAAGCACTGAGAGAGGAAAAGAAAAAAAACAGATGAACTCTGAGTCCCCCTTTGACTTCATGAATGGTATGTCTTCCACTCCTGGACACTTACCTCTGAAATGTTCAGTAAAAGACAAACTTCTACTTTATTTAAAACACTCTACTTGAGAGTCTCTTTCATCTTCTAACTAGCACCTTAATTAAAAGTTCTTTCCAGGAAATAAACCTCCCCCACTTGAGGAGCCAAAGGCTTAAACACATTGCCAGCTGCACTTACTTAGGAAAGCAAGGATACCGCCAAGAATCCCTAGAATGGCAGGAACTTCCAGTGTCGCTTCTGCAAATTTTGGCTTTATACAGTTGTTGACAGTTCCCTCACAGTCACATACATGGACGTCCAAGGTGGTCACCTGGTCTTTGTTCTGATTATCCATGAGCTTGAGATTGATTTTGTATTCACCCAACTCTAAGGGTTTCTTTGGCTTCAAAATGAGAGACTCTTGGGCTGAGAAAAGCAAAACAAGTTAATGGGACCAGGAGAAGAAAAATAAAGAGATAGATAAATAAAGACTGGGAGGGAACTAAAGATGCTACAAAGCTGAATGAAGAAAGTGGAGCTGCTTGGGGTTTTGGTTACAAGGCAGTATGTCACAAGGCAAAGTGTGAGGAAATGAAGGAGACCTTTGGGACGATACCATAGGTGTAGAAGGCATAAGGAGCAAATAACAAAGGAAAGGGCTGGCAAGTAGAGTGGGAAGGGAAATTGAGCAGCAGGCGGGGAAAAGGAAAGGAGAAACACAGCAGGGAGAAGCAGGGTGGAGAAATCAAGTTCAAGTTCCCACCTGGATCACTGTACTCAATGGTCCAATTCACACTTGCCCCATGTGTCAGTTCTGCTGTGAAGGGTGAAGTGTTGGGGGGAAGATCTGGGTCTATGATGTTTATGATTTGAGGCTGTGGATTCTTCTGGCAGAAGTAGACATTTCGAGATTCTGGTATGGGAGCATTATCATTTATGTCGGAGAGGATCAAGAGAAGGGTTCCTGTTCCAGTGGCAATCGGAGAACCTAAAAGAAAACACAGAGGAAACGCCCCCACTCAGGAATGTTAATGAAGCCTGGAACAGTGGTGCATGTCTATAATTCCAGCAACTCAGGAGGCTAAAGCAAGAGGATTGCAAGTTTGAGGCCAGCCTCAGCAGTTTATCAAAGCTGTAAGCAACTTAGCCAAACCTTGTCTCAAAATTGAAAATATAAAGGGCTGTGGATGTGGATCAGTGGTTGAGCGCCCCTGGGTTCAATCTCTTGAAACCAAAAATAAATAAATAAACTTTACAAAAAACCCTTTTTAATTAGCTAGTAGATTTTCTGGGATAAACTTCATTCTCCTTTTAGACTGTATGTTAAAAGCAAGGCAAAGGCTGGGGATGGAGCTTAGTGGTAAAGTGCTTGCCTAGCAAATGTGAAGCCCTGGGTCCCACATTCAGCACTGAGGGGAAAGACAATTCATGCAATTAAAGCAACACTTAACTGCGTTTGTGTAATGGGACAAAATTCATTTTACTGTCATGTATAACTAATTAGAAGAACAACAACAACAAAAAAAGCAACACTTACAGGAACCACTCAGAACCATCACCCCTTGGCTATGATTATTTAGGTCAGGGTCAGCAAGCTAAACTAAGGTCTTCTGGCCAAATTAGGAACACAGTTATGCTCATCCCTTTATGGATTTTATATGGCCAGCTGCAGGCTCCAATGGCAATAGAGAGTGGACAGTTTTGTAAAGCCTAAATTTTTTACTCCCTGGTCCTTTACAGAATAAGTCTGCCCACCTTTGGTTCTGGTACAATTTACCTTAACTTACTTCCAGGCCAGGCTGGGGAATCCCCAAGGAGCCAGAGCGTGCTGCAGGCTGAAGCAATGGGCAGCTCTTTGCCCTGCAAATGGAGCCTCATGATGGCCTCACTTGCCTGGCCCTCTCTCTCCTTTCCACATGATCAAACCTAGATTACTACCTTAACAGGTTAGCAGGTAACAGAGTGGGAAGAAAATTAACCATGAGAAGTTTGTAGATCTCTTAACAAGTAATTCTGCCTTGAAACATCTGTCTGAGGAGCATGCCTGTAAACAGAGGCATGTACAAGGATGTCCACTCACTAATCATGGAAATAATAATTGTAAACACCTATGTCCTTTGATATGTGAATGATCAAATTATACTACATACAGATAACTCTTTCTCTCTTTTTTTGGTGGTAATGGAGACCGAACCCATGGCTTCATGCATCCTAGGCAAGTCTGAGCTATACTCCCAGACCCAGATAACATCATTCTTAAAAAGAGATATATCTAGCATACACCACGGGCAGATCTCTCTGTCTTTTTGCAGGGTGGGGCAGGGGGGATGTTGTGGCAAGGGGAGATTAAACCCAGGGGCACTTAACCACGGAGCCACATCCCCATCCCTTTTCATTTTGAGACAGGGCCTTGCTTTGTCACTAAGTTGCTGAGGCTGGCTTTGAACTTATGATCCTCCTGCCTCAGTCTCTAGAGTTGCCTGGTTTACAGGCATACGCCACCAGGCCTGGCAAATCTTTGTCTGAAAGACATGAATATTTGTTTGTTTGCTTGTGCTAGAGTTTGAACCCTGGGCCTCATACATGCTACACTAGTGCTCTATTGCTCAGTTATATACCAGGTCCCCCAATTTAAATTTTAAACAGTATAGGTAATGCTTTTATAACAAAACAAAATTTAAGAAGCCTTAAACCGATATATCAGTGTATTTAAATATACAGAAATAATCTAGGTGCACTCACACTTAATTGATGATAAAAATACCAGTCCTGCCAGGTGTGGTGGCACACGCCTATAATCCTAGCAGCTGGGGAGGCTGAGGCAGGAAAATCGCAAGTTCAAAGCCAGACCCAGCAAAAGTGAGGCACTAAGCAGCTCAGTGAGACTCTGTCTCTAAATAAAGTACAAAATAGGGCTGGAGATGTGGCTCAGTGGTCCAGTGTCCCTGAGTTTAATCCCAGTACCAAAACGAACAAACACACAGACAAAAAAAAAAAAAAAAAAAAACAGTCCTTAGATAGCTAGTGGCTATTCTAGGTATGTTTACACTCATTAACTTATTTAATCTGGATGGAATGTTATCATTTTGCTACATGAAGGAATTGACAGACATAAAATTAAGTAGTAAATGCAATGTCACACAGGTACTAAAGTCACAGACCTGGGACACAAACCCAGGCCCCCATGGGGAAAGGAGTGGACAGTAGGAATAGAGAGGGACAGGTGAAAAGGAACTTCTATTTGACTCATTTGTATTTTTGATACAGATAATGATAATTCTTGTCTAAAATTAAAAAGAATGAACTCATTTCCAAAAGAAGGACAGGGGACAAAGGAGGCAAAGGGGCCAGAAGGGTGGGGCCGGTATCCTACCATTGTCCGTGGCAATGATGAGGGCCGTATACGTGCTATTCTTCACATGCTCAAAGTCCTCTCTGTCCAGTTCAGCCCGAGTCAAAATGGCACCAGTCTCCGGATTAATCTCCAGCCAGTTGGCAGTGTCCCTCCAAATGCGATATCTGAAAAGGTGCAGGCCCTGGCTTAGCATGGGAACATCAAAAAGCACCGAGCTAGAGAAGACTAAGGTATCTCCCGATTTATATCATTATTTCCAATATTTTATTTTTAAGAACTATCAACTCTACAACCTTTTTGTGAAGTGTTGGGCCTTGACATGCTAGACAAGCACTCTACCACTGAGCTACATCCCTAACCATTGATTTACCCGTTGTTAACGTTTTGCAACATTTACTTTCTCAAACTATATATTCTCACACACACACATAATTTCTTATTTTGCTAAGTCATTTGAGAATGAGTTGATGATACCATGTTCCTTTACTTACTTATACTACAGTGTATTTCCTAAGAACAGAAACATATGTGTGTGTATATATGTATATATTTACATATATACATATATATTTATGAATAAATATATAAGTTTGTAAAATATGTAAATTTGTATAATCTCAACCACAAATTGATTTTCTTTTTTCTTTCCCTCTTTCTTGTGTGGTACTAGGAATTGAACAGTTTATTTTGGAGACAGGGTCCTACTACATTGCCCACACTGGCTTTGACTTGTGATTCCCCTGTCTTAGCCTCCTAAATAGCTGGGATTATAGGTGTATGCCACCACACAAGGCTCACATATTGATTTTCAATTCAGGAAGCAAAATTATTTTTTTTTTAAATTTTTTTAATTGTAGATGGACACAACACCTTTATTTTATTTATTTATTTTTATGTGGTGCTTAAGATCGAACCCAGTGCCTCACACATTCCAGACGAATGCACTACCACTGAGCCACAACCCCAGCCCAGGAAACAAAACTCTTATGACAGAACATTATTATTATTATTCTACATGTTCAAATTGTCTAATATTCCCCCAAATGTCTTTTATAGTGATCTTGCGCCTTTTTGGATTTAATCTGTTCTCAGTATCCCAAAGTCTTCTCTGTCCAGCCCCATCCTCACAGAAATGGAGCCAGTATCCAGATTAATCTCCAGCGATTTAATGGCTCATCAATGGCATGTAGCTGACATATCTCTAGTTTCCGTTAATCTGGATGCACACCTTGCCCTTTCATTCTTATACCTGACATTTTTTAAATGTGTGGGCCAGTTGTTTTGTAGGATGTGCCTCAATTTCAGATTGTCTAATTATTCCCTTTTGGAGGGTACAGAGGGGATGAAAATCCTGTAGAGGTGAGGTTGTGTCCTTCTTGGTGCATCACCTTAGAAGGCTCTTGATGTCCATCTGTTCTTTTATTGGTAATGTCAACTTTGATCACTTGGATAAGGAAAAGTCACTGGATTTCTTCACAAGAAACGTATCTTTTTCTCTTTGTAGTTAATCTATAATCTAGCAGAAGGTCATTTGGAAATATCCTGTTTACCCACTTTTATGCAATGAACTTAACATCTATAAGTAATTCTTGCCCAAAGCAATGCTTATTATGACCTTATATCATCATCATCATCATCATCTCACCACCACCACCATCACCATCACTTTTGGTAGTAGAAATTGAACCCAATGGATATACCTCAAAGTGGTAAAACACCCTTTTATTTTTTGTTTTGATATAGGGTCTCACCAAGTTGCTCAAGGCCTCCTTAAGTTGCTGAGGCTGGCCTCGAACTTGTAGTCCACCTGCCTCAACCTCCCAAATCGCTGAGATTACACTCCAGACTCAAAATCCTACATTATTTTATTTTGTTTTTCATATTCTTTCACACTGTGATTAAAAATACTTTTTATCAGGCCTTCCATTTTATTCAACCTAGAAGTATCCCCTAGATTATGATTAGTACACTCACTATATGTACAAAATTAATGTATTTCAAAGCAAAGTGTTGTAGGTGCCCTCAAATTCAAAACAAGAAATGGTAAGCTACTAATAACACAATATCACATGCATAATTTTAAATCATATTCCTATAGGCAAGGTCAGTGACTCTGGGTACTCAGGAGGCTGAGGCAGGAGGACCACTTGAGCCCATGTCCAGGACATTCCAGGCAACACAGGGAGACCATGCCTTAAAACAAAACAGCCAGATACATTGTAATCTCAACTACTCAGGAGGCTGAGACAAGAGGACAGATTGGGAAATCTTATCTCAGAGAAAGACTGGGAAAATAGCTTTGTGGTAGAGCACTTGTCTACCTCAAAATCCTGGATTCAATACCCGGTGCCACCAATAAAACAAAGCAAATCAAAGCTGCTGGGCCTGGTGGCACACACCTTTAGCCCCAGCAACTCGAGCGGTTGAGGTAGCAGGATCACCAGCCTCAGACTCTGACTCAGAATAAAAAATTAAAAGACTGAGGATGTAGTTCAGTAGTAAAGCACTCCTGGGCTAAATCACCAGTCCCAAACCAAACCAAACAAGAAAACAAAATCACATTCCTACTACATTATCATAAGAACTCAAAGCTGGGATGCACGCCTGTAATCCTAGCAACTTGAGAGGCTGAGGCAGGAGGATCACAAATTCACAGCAGTTTAGTGTGACCCTGTCTCAAAACAAAACAAAACAGAAAAATAGACGGGAAGGACATTAAACCTAGAATGGCCAACTATGGAAGGAAGGGAAATGATGTGGGGCACAGGAATTAAAAAAAAAAAAACAACAGAACAAGAGAAGGGTGTTGCACAGTCCAACCATGCCAGGAGTGAAATAGTCATGTGCCACATAATGAGGATCAGTCATCCAAACACTGCATTCACGATCACCTAGTGACAATGTGGCTAATTTAATTTGTATAACAATCGTGTTCACACAATGATAAACAAGCCAAAGAGGAATTTCTTGGAACATATTCCTATCATTAAGTGAAGCATAACTATATGTGTGTTTACCTAAAAAAATATATAAATAAATATATATATATATAATCATACACACACACACACACACACACACCAATACCCACTTGTCACAAGACCATTGAGAAACCCACACACTCACGTAATCTTCTGTTGCATGAAGGTGTCTGGCTCCCGGGCCGTGTAGGACGTGATTTCCAGGCCCACACCAAAGTCTTCAGGCACCTCCACTCTCTTTTCAGGAGGCACAAAGATGGGGGCTTCGTTCACATCCACCACATCCACAGTGACTGTGGCTGTGGAGGTTTGGAGAGTCACCTCAAAGGGGGCCACATTTGTCACTGTCACATATAGAATGTACTGCTGCTTGGCCTCAAAATCCAAACCCTAGAGAACAGGAAGAAAAAAAAAAAGATTAAAAATAAAATTCAAGGGCCTGGTGTGGTGGTGCATGCCTGTAACCCTGGTAACTTGGGAGGCTAAGACAGGAAGATTGTAAGTTCAAAGCCAACCTCAGCAACTTAGAGGAGACCTGTCTCAAAATGAAAAATAAAAAGGGCTGGGGATGTGGCTCCACAGTTAAGCGTCCCTTGGTACCACGAAATACATAAATAATGAAGAAAATACAAGGACTACAGCTATAGCTTAGAGGCACAATGTGCTGGGTTCAACCCCTACTACCACTCAAAAAATAAAAAAAATGTCAAGAAACATTTGATGTTGGTAAAACTAAACAAAAATTAAATCCTTAACCATTGCTCTTGGTTGGATACACCAGCAGTTAAACATGGCAGTTCACTTGCTAAAGAGGATGTCAAAGCTCAGGGGCTATTCCAGGCATCTGCCTTTTCTCAACTTCAACAAGCAACTCAGCCAACTTCTTAGTTTCCAAGTTTCTAGGACATTTTTCACACACACAATAAAAGAGCCAACACCAGTAAATCACATTATTCTCTCTTATTTGCAAAACAGAAAAGGGATTAGGAGAGGCCAATGTTTCTGGGACCAAACATATTAAAGCAGATGGTACTCCTGGGCTCAGTGGCACACACCTGTAACCCCAGGGGCTGGGAAAACTGAGGCAGAAGGATTTTACATTTGAAGCCAGGCTAAGCAACTCAGTAAGACCCTATCTCGAAATAAAAACAAAAAGGGCTTAGGGTGTAGCTCAGTGGTAGAGTACCCCTGGGTTCAATCCACGGTGCACAAAAAGGTGGTGGGCAGCAAATGGTACTGCCTCTTCAATTTTAGGTTTTAATACCCCACAAGCCCTGTACAACTGACCCACCAGAACCTAGGAAATCTGCCCCACCCCTACCCCACCAATACTAATCTCTTCTGAGAAGAGAGCAGCTGGCTACTAGGTTACGTGGCTTACCAGGCACCATACAAACCTTAGCTGTCTTCAGAATGCCATCATTGGTCATTGGGTCTGTGATGACAACAAACTGTTGCTCATTATCATTTAATATGGTGTACACGGCCTCCCACGCCGGGGTGTTGGGGACGTCCGCATCAGTGACTTTGAGTGTAGTGATGACAGCATTAACTTCATTCTCAGGCACCTGACCCTCGTACTGCAGGGCAAAGGAAAAGATGGGTCATACTGACATGGAGAGTAGAACCAGGTCTCAGGCTAAAGGAATCCATTCTGAGCCTGAGCCTAAAGGAGATGGTGTAACAAAACCAGGTTGGGCAGCAGGCACAAATCTCAAAGGATGTCCTCACTCTAGGAGCAGGCCCTCATATCTGTGCACGGAGCAGTTAGTACTCATGGTACCCTCCTCCATGAGTACTTAAAAAGTAGCTTTCCTGGGCTGGGTTTGTGGCTCAGCGGTAGAGTGCTTGCTTAGTATGCATGAGGCACTGGGTTCGATTCTCGGCACCACATACAAATAAATAAAATAAAGGTCCATCAACAACTAAAAAATATTAAAAAAAAAAAAAGTAGCTTTCCAAGGCCCTCACTGCACAAGCCATTCAGCACATGTCCTGGGGCATAGTGGCTGACAGTGAGGGATCTTGGTCAGATGATCTTAATTCATTCACCTCCAGCCCCCCTCTGTTCTCTACCAGTCATGTCTGGTTATTAAAATCCTCTCCTTAAAACCCTTTAACAAGGGCTGGGAGAGTGTTTGCCTCCCATGTACAAGGCCCTGGGTTCAATCCCTAGCACCACAAAGAAAGAAAGAAAAAAACCCTTTAACAATGACTCCCTGTGCTCAGGATAATATTCAGAGTTCTTTTATTTGGCTCTCAGAATCTCCTTAATTGCATTTAACACTCTTGGCATCATTATTCCTATAAATTGCAAAACATCTTCCTGGCTAGACTATTAGCTCCATGAGACCAGACTTTTATGCTTTGTGACACAATGCCTAGTATATAAATTTAGAAAATATAAATATACGAAACCTGGTAAGATTTGCTACAAAGATACATAATTCGAGGAAATGGATACAATAGGTGCTTTTACAACTTTATAATTCTTTGCTGATGGGCTCCAGGCCAAGGATGGAACAAAGATGCTCACAGTAGGTTTAGAATTAACATTTACTAGTTCGGGGAAGAGTTCTCAAGGTCTTGACCTTGAATAATGGACTTTTCTTTGGAAACCACCTAAGCAGTTGCAAGCTTACCGTGGTTGGGTGGAAGATGGGAGGGTTATCGTTGGTGTCAGTGACTGTGATGATGGCTTTTGCTGTGGTACTCAAGCCTTCACCTTGGAGATCAGCAGCTTGAACCATCAGAGTATACTTGGGAAAACTCTGCAGACAGATCACACATACACCTGAGTCAGAACCAGTAGCAATAGCCACAGGGGCCCAGCCAAGCCCATTGCACATACAGAACTACAATATTTTCTCAGCTTAAATACCAGTTCTCATGCATCTAGGCACAGAAAATTGGGCAATTGTTTAGATGCAAAGCTCAGACTATCACACTAACTAGCAACTGGCCACAACAGAGTTTTGCAGTGGCATATAGCTAATATACATTTGCTTTCAATTCCCACTGGATCCTCCTGAGCTCTGCCTGACCTCTCTGTCCAGCCCAGTGGTGACCACACTGATGACCCCTGTTTCCCGGTTGATGGTGAACATATTGCGGTGAGGCAACTCGGGTTCTTGGGAGAGGATGGTGTAAGCAATGGCAGCATTGTAAGTGTTCACATCGTCATCTGCATCCGTGGCTGAGACCTGCATCACGGAGGTTCCTGGAAGCATCAAGGGAGAGGAAGATTTAATTGGGCTGCACCCTGGGACCTGCTTAGTACTGCTCAGTTCAATCCTGGCCCGAGTGGTAAAGGAGGACCCTACAGATGGCACTTTGTTATAGTTCCCCTCTTCTCTAATTTCTAAAATTCTCACCAAATTGCTAGGGGAAAAAAGCAAGCACTACACCACATAAGCCGTGTTCAGGGACCTCATCATCCCCAGGACAAATTTTTGGGCGGGAGTGAGAAGATTTATTGGAAATAACTATAAACTTTTACTAAAACATCTTGCCATATCTCATACTGAGTTGAATGTCATGTAAAACAAAAATTCCAGAATTTTCTGCAGTTCACCTCTCAGTTCATTAGAGAATGGTCATTTGGCATCATTACCTTTAAGGTGGAGTAAAATACTTAAAACACATGTGACTGACAAAGGACCAGTGTCCAAAATATCTAAGTAACTTAAGAATCAATAGCAAAAATACAACTGATCCAAGAAAACAAAACCAAAAAAAGGCAAAAAAAAAAAAAAAAAAACTTCAATAGACAAGTCATAAAGAAGAAATAAATTAAAAATAGCTGGTAAGCATATGCCAAGATGCTTACTTAGCCCATTAGTCACCCCAGAAATGTAGGTTGTTGTTGTTTGGATTTTTATTTTTTTGCAGTGCTGGGGATTAAGTCCAGAGCCTCATGCATGCTAGGTACGTGCTCTACCACTGAGCCACCCTCTCAGCCCGAATGTACAATTTTAAATTGCACCAAGATGGCATCACATGCCCAACAGATTGGCAAAAACAAAACCATTTAACAATTTCTAGGAGTATAAACTGGTTTTAACAACCTTGAAAACCTACTTGACACCATTAAGTAAAGCTGAATACACATAATACACCATTATGAATGTGTACCCTAGAGATATTGTATTTGTACCAGGAAATATGTTAAGGATATTCTAAGAATGCTGTTCAGAATAGCAACAAACAAAAAGAGCCCCAATTTCTATCAACAGTGGAATAAGCTTTACATAATTAACCACAGAAGGGAATACTAAGCAGCAATGAAATGAATGATCTATCATGCCCACCAATGAAGATCTTACATGCATAATGAAAGAGGTCATAGAAATATATGTATAAACCAGGCCCGGTGGTGCATGCCTATAATCCCAGTGGCTCAGGACTCTAAGGCAAGAAGTCAGTCTCAGCAACTTAATGAAGTCCTAAATAATCCTTCTGCTCAAAATAAAAAATAAAAAGGGCTGGGATGTGGCTCAATGGTTAAACATCCCTGGGTTTAATCCCCAAAATCAGGGGGGAAAAAAAAAGAAAAACAAAGAAATTTATCTATGATGTGATTCCATGTATATAAAGCTTAAAAGTAGGCAAAAGTAGCAAATTATTACCTAGGGATAAATCTACACCTGGGTAAAAGATAAAGAAAATCAAGGGAGGGATATGTTCATGAGATTACTCCTTTCTGCCCATGGTCGCCTGCTGCAGCCATGTCTAAATCAGAGTCCCTAAAGAGCACTGGTTTCGATCCTCAGCACCACATAAAATTAACAGACAAAATAAAGGCATGCTGTCCATCTACAACTACAAAAAAGAAAAGAAAAAGCCCGAATAGCTGCAGAAGCTATTCATCGGAGGGCTGAGCTTTGAAATAACTGATGAGAGTCTGAGAAGTCATTTTGACCAATGGGGAACACTCATGGACTGTGTGGTAATGAGAGACACCAAGTGCTCCAGGGGCTTTGGGTTTGTCCTTATGCCACTGTGGAGGAAGTGGACGCAGCCAGGAATGCAAGACTACACAAGGTAGGTGCAAGAGTTGTGGAACCAAAGAGAGCTTCTCAAAAGAAGATTCTCAAAGACCAGGGGCCCATTTAACCGTAAAAAAGATCTTTCTTGGTGGCATTAAAGAAGACACTGAGGGGCTGGGGTTCTGGCTCAGCGGTAGAGTGCTCATCTAGCACGTGCAAAGCCCTGGGTTTGATCCTCAGCACCACATAAAAATAAAATAAGTGAAAAATAAAGGTATTAAAAAAAAAAAAAAAAAAAAAGGAACATCACCTATGAGATTACTTGGAACAGAACAGGAAAATTGAAGTTATTGAAATCATGACTGACAGAGGAAATGGAAAGAAAAGAGGCTTTGCTTTAATGACTTTTTTTTCCCAAAATATTTTTTAGTTGTAGTTGGATACAATACCTTTATTCTATTTGTTTTTTATGTGGTGCTGAGGATCAAACCCAGGGCCTCGCACATGCTAGGCAAGGCCAGCCCCTTGCTTTTCTAACTTTTAAGGACCCTGACTTTGTGTATAAGATTGTCATTCAGAAATACCATACTGTGGGCTGGACACAGTGGTGCACGCCTGTAATCCTAGTGGCTCAGGAGGCAGAGGGAGGAGGATCACAAGTTCAAAGCAAGCCTCAGCAATTTAGCGAGGTGCTAAGCAACTCAGTGAGACTCTGTCTCTAAATAAAATACAAAATAGGGCTGGGGATGTGGCTCAGTGGTCAAATGCCCCTGAGTTCAATCCCCAGTATCAAAAAGAAAGAAAGAAAAAATTGCCATACTGTGAATGGCCACAACTGTGAAGTGAGGAAAGCCCTGTCAAAGCAAGAGATGGCTAGTACTTCATCTAGCCAAAGAGGTTGGAGTGGTTCTGGAAACTTTGGTGGTGGTCATGGAGATGATTTTGGTGGAAATGACAATTTTGGTCATGGAAGGAAATTCAGTGGTTGTAGTGGCTTTGTAGGCAGCTGTGATGGTGGTAGATATGGTGGCAGCAGGGATGGCTACAATGGATTTGGTAAGGACGGAAGCAATTTTGGAGGTGGTGGAAGCTACAATGATTTGGGCAATTACAACAATCAGCCATCAAATTTTGGACCCATGAAGGGTAGAAACTTTGGATGCAGAAGCTCTGGACCTTATGGTGATGGAGGCCAATACTCTGGCAAACCACGAAACCCAGGTGGCTATGGCGGTTCCAGCAGCAGTAGTAACTATGGCAATGGCAGAAGGTTTAAATACTGCCACGGAACAAAGCTTCTCAGGAGAGGAGAGCCAGAGAAGTGACAGGGAAGCTATAAGTTACAATAGATTTGTGAACTCAGCCAAGCACAGTGGTGGCAGAGTTTGCCTGCTACAAAGGAGACATGGTTTAGACAATACTCATGTGTATGGGCAAAAAACCTCGAGGACTGTATTTGGGACTAATTGTGTAATAGGTTATTTTAGTTTCTATTCTGTGGAAAGTGTAAAGCATTCAGGGCTGGGGATGTGGCTCAAGTGGTAGCGTGCTTGCCTGGCATGTGTGAGGCACTGGGTTCAATTCTCAGCACCACATAAAAGCAAAATAAAGATATTGTGTCCACCTAAAAAAACTAAAAAATAAATATTAAAAAAAAAGAAAGTGTAAAGCATTCCAATAAAGGATTTTAATGTAGATTTTTTTTTGTACCCATGCTATTGATTGCTAAATGTAATAGCCTGATCATACACTGAATAAATGTGTCTTTAAAAGCAAAAAAACAAAAAGGGCTGAGGCTGTAGCTCAGTGACAGAAGATCTTGCCTTGCCCATGTGAGGCATTGGTTTCGATCCTCAGCACCACATAAAATTAACAGACAAAATAAAGGCATGCTATCCATCTACAACTACAAAAAAGAAAAAAGAAAAGAAAATCAAGGGAATGATTACCACAAAAGACAAGGCTATATAATTATTAAATCAAATTTTTAAAAAATATTAAAAATTTTCTCTCTCTCTCTCAAAAAAAAAAAAAATTTAGGACTGGGGATATAGCTCAATTGGTAGAGTACTTGCCTCCCATGCACCACCACACACACACACAAAAAATGCTTTTTAAAAAGTCAGGACAATGGCTGGGCTCAGTGGCACATGACTATAATTCCAGTGACTCGGGAGGCTGAGGCAGGAGGATCGCAAGTTCAAAGCCTGCTTCAGCAACTTATCAAGGCCCCAAGGAACTTAGTGAGACCCTGTTTCTAAATTTAAAAAATTTATAAATGGCTGGGGATGCCGCTCAGTGGTTAAGCATAATTGGGTTCCATCCCTGGCACCAAAAGGAGGGGAAAAGTAAAGGCAATGGCTACCATAATGGAAGAGAGATAAGACTGTGATCCAGAAGGGTTTAGGGTGCTGGTGAGGATCTGTTTCATAATCAAGAAAGTTGTCTTAAACTGTTCTTATTGTATATGTTTCTGTGGGCAAATTGTTCTACACACACAGTGGCTTCTAAATAAAGTTGATCCATATAATGGGTCAGCTTCAGTAACCTGACCCCGAGCTCCAGCCCTAACACTTTGGGATCTAAAGTATCTCAGTGACTCTGGGTGTCTGACTCCTTGCCACGCATGTACCTGGAAGAGCTCCCTCCATGACAGACCCCTGGAAGACCTCCTGGATGAACTCAGGCCTGTTGTCATTCTGATCTGTCACTGTGATCACAATCTCCATGGGGTCCTCGACTGCATTCCCGTTTGAAGACACGGCATGAGAAAAGAGCTGCAAGAGACAAATGAGGGTTACTTGGCCCCCGATGAGGAAGACGAGGTGGAAATGGGGGCTGGCGAGAGTCGCATGGGCTCAGCCCAGCCTCTACTCTTCCCACTGTGAACCCCTAAAGAGGACTTTTCCCACGTGTGTTCTGCTGCTTCAATGAGACCACGATGAGTTAAGACACATGGGCTACAGAACACAACCACTAGGTCAGGCCTCTGTCTCCCACAGCAAGACTGGGGCACCAAGGCCAGAGGTAAAGGCAGAGGCCTAAAAACTTCTGACTTACTCCACTCAGGGTCAAATTTGCTCTGCCCCCCTCAGTCTGGTGTTTCTCCCAGATTTTTCTGCATTTGGCATTCATACTAAATCTCCCTCTTCCCTAAGCTCTGATTTCTATCAAGTCCCAGAAATGATTTTTGCTTTCCAATATCAACACTATCTTCTTTCTTTAGGAACTTCCAGCCCCAAGAACAGGATGACATCCTGGGTCTAAACTCCCCCTCTTTTTCCTAATAAGGAAAAAAGATGAACTGCCCCAGGTTCACCTGCCATTTCACTTTATCAACAAGTCAAGGGATGTCAAAAGCTAAGCTCTCCACATGTCCAGATCATCAGATCTGGGGACCCCACATGAGTTGACTAAAAAATTTTGGAGAGATGTTACCCCCCTGGTCAACAAGCAAGAGGTACTTACGATGTACTTGGCAATTTTTTCTCTATCCAGAGGCTCCGTCACCTTCAGCTTTCCTGTTTCTCTTTCAATAATAAACACACCAACAGGGGGTGAGTCAGCTCCTTGGCCAGTGATACTGTAGAAAACCTTGGTCTCTTTGTCCCTGTTGGATTTGATCTGAAAACAAACAAACAAACAAAAAAATACAATTGGCAAGGAAAGATCCCAACTTCTGTCGGGTCTTTTCCCTTTCTCTTCATTGGCTCTACTCTGCCAAATTTCTTCCAAAGAAATAGAGAATTTTCTTCTTTACCTGAACCAGTTCTTTAGGAAATGGACCTTTTTCATTTTCTGGACAGCTGATGGGAGGGATAACCCAGTCTCTCTTCTGTCTTCTGAGGCCACGGTGGGAGTCGGGAAATGTGAGCACTTCTACATGGGTTCCAGGGAGAGACTCCTAAGAGGAATGGAGATGAGGAACAAAATGAGAAAATTCAAGAGAGAGACTACAAACCTGACTTGTCCAACCTACTCGCTCACTGTCTTCAGCCTGGAGGGCACTGTTGGTTTTAACTTAATGACACATTCGTTTCTCGATTAGAAATTATATATCCATTCCAAAATGAGCAGTCAAAACAAAAATCAACGAACCCCTTTCCCACTGCTTCAATTTGGATGTTAAACGTCTTCCTAAAGTAAAGTTCCAGGTGGTTTGGTCCCTAGACTGATGCTATTGAAAGGTGGTGGAAACTTCGGGAGGTGGGGCCTATGATAAGTCTTCAGATCATTGGGGGTGTCCTCGAAGAGAATTATGGGAACCAGTCTCCTCTTCTTCCTCTCTGCTCAGGGAAGTGGTTTGCTCTGCCACTTACTCCCACCATAATGTGCTATCTTCACCAGAGGACCAAATTAAAAGGGCAACTTGGATTGGAACCTGCCAAAACCATGAGTCAAACTAGATATTTTCTGTTTATAAGTTTATCGCCTCAGGTATTTTCTTTCCATCCTCAGGGATAGAAAGCTGACTAATACAACCATATAATAAACACTATGTTCTATTTTGATCCTTCTTAGTGTCCATAATGCAAATAATCATTATGAATACATAACTATAGTTTGACATTTGAGATTATCATTTAAGTTATTTCAAGTCTATGTAATATATGTCATTTTTATAGAAACATTACAGTCTAGTGATTTAATATCAGAGTTTATTCAATAACTAAATATGCAAGTGTTTTCAATTTCCTTTCTTTTATGTTTTTCCCAGGGATATAGTTCCCCAAAGTTGATCTGCCAAAACAAGTTTGGGAAATTGCCACTAAGAATTACTTTGTGATGAATATAAATCTCTCAATCTCACTGTGCTATATCTATAAAGTTTCCATTTGCTCTAACAGAAGCTGTTAGGATAAGCACCAAAACACCCTTTGAGACTCATATTGAACAGTTTTCTTGTGCAATAAAGATAACTTTATGCACAATCAGGATAATAGGAGAATTGAAGGGGGGGGGGAATATCTCCCAAATTGTTTTAAGTTTGCTATTGTTATTTATACTAGATTGAACTCAGGGGTGCTTTACCACTGAGCTATATCCCAGTTCTTTCTATTTTATTTTGATACAGGGGCTTACTAAGTTGCTGAGGCTAACCTGTAACTTACTAAGTTGCTGAGGCTAACCTCTAACCTGCCTCAACCTTCTGAGTTGCTGGGATTGCCAGGTATGTGCCGCCATGCCTAGATGTTGAAGTATTTTAAAATGACTAGTGAGTTTCCAATGGAAAATTCTACCTTCCTCCCTCCACAGAAGGGTGCTCACTCATATTCCCTGATCACTGTTTGCCAAGTTTGATTCAAGCCAGATTTCCTGGCTTTTTTTTTTAAGACTCAAGATGTAAAAGATAAATGAGACACACCCAGGTACAGTCCCCAGGGCACTTCCACAATCATGCATGCACAGGGCATACACCCCTCCTCTGTCCTGCCAATCCTTGCATTTTACTCCCACAGAGGCAGGCCAACCAGGGCCAAAAGCAGGCTCTGGTCTAGGCTGCTGGGCTTTGAATCCTCACTATGGCACCTCCTTGTTCAGGACAGATCAATTGACTTCTCTGTATCTGTCTCCTAATATCCAAAATGGGGGCGATATCAGTACCTACATCATAGGCCACTGGAAGGATTAAATGAAATAATGGTACATGTAAAGTACTTGAAATAGCACCTGACACATAGTAAATGCTCAATAAATGACTGGCTAAAAAAAACACTGAGCTGTGGCATTTTGGGAATCCAACAGAAATGATGCAAGATACTGACTATTGACAGCATGCCCTAGGCTTTAAAATGATCATTGCTTACAGCCAAGGAACTGAGGAATGAATGCAAACCCATTTGCCAGACAGAAAAGGAAGACAGAGATCATGCCTTGCTAACATCAGGATTGCAAAACGCTTTCAGATGATGATAATAAATAGTGAGGAACCCTGTGCTGGCTACACATAGGATTAACATTTTCAGGTGTGAAATTAAAGGGAAAAGTGCCTCTTCTTCATACTGAACATGCAGGCTACCAAACTGCAAAAACCCACTTGAATTAAGTGAAAGAACTAGAAAGTTAGATCTATTGTAATACAAAATTAAAATGAAGTAAGAGGGGTTGGGGGTGTCATTTGGGGGTAGAGCACTTCCCCAGCATGCACAATGCTACAAGGTCAATCCCCAGTACTGGGGACAGGAGTCAAGTAAGATTGCTGCCCCTTTTCTTAACACAGCATACACCCCTCCTCTGTCCTGCCAATCCTTGCATTTGTCTCCCACAGAGGCAGGCCAACCAGGGCCAAAAGCAGGCTCTGGGTCTAGGCTGCTGGGCTTTGAATCCTCACTATGGCACCTTCTTGTTCAGGACAGATCACTTGACTTCTCTGTATCTGTCTCCTAATATCCAAAATAGGGGTGATATCAGTACCTACATCATAGGTCAATCCCCAGTACTGGATCCACAGGGGTCCCTTAAACCAGAGACAAAACAAAAGGAAAGTCAAGACAGTTATGACGGAGTTTGCTACTACTCCAATACCCATTCTCCCTTTCTTATTAAACACAAAACCAAACCAAAAACTCTTTTTCTGTAGTATATATCTCAATTTGTACCCAGCAATGTACCCACAGAAAAAAACTACATCTCTGTAAAAAGTTACACTTGTACCCAGGTGTGGCCATGAGGCTAAGTTCTAGCTAATGTGATACATTAGAAGTACTGCTTCAGAATTCCACAAGGGTTGCTTAAAAGGCAGATAACTTTCAATGTTACACAAAATTACATATAAGAAGTTGTGAGGGGAAAGGGGGTGGGGAACAAGGGAGAGAATTGAACAACACCAGATGAGGTAGAGAGGGAAGATGGGAGGGGAGGGGAGGGGGGATAGTAGGGGATAGGAAAGGTAGCAGAATACAACAGTCACTAATATGCCATTTTGTAAAAATGTGAATGTGTAACCGATGTGATTCTGCAATTTGTATTTGGGGTAAAAATGGGAGTTCATAACCCACTTGAGTCAAATGTATGAAAGATGATATGTCATGAGCTTTGTAATGTTTTGAACAACCAATTAAAAAAAAAAAAGGCAGATAACTTAAAAAATAATGCACTTTCGTGCTTCTCTTTCTCTTTTCTTTCTTTCGAGAGGTCGGGGTGTGGTATGAGGGATTGAGACTGACCCTAGGGTCTTGCATATTTAGGCAAGTACTCTACTACTGAGCTTATACCTCTAGTTCCTTTCTTCTTCTTATCACATAGAATAAAGAATGCTGTCAGGTGTGGTGGTACATGACTTATAATCCTAGCTACTCAGGAGGCTGAGACAGGAGGCTGACTAGAGCTACAGCAGCCATTTTTGGTTCATGAGGTAACCGTGAGAATACAATCCATGTGCTGAGGGCAGCAAAGTGGAGAGGAGAGGAGAAACCTGGGTTCTTGATGACTGTTGAGTCCCTACACTAGGCATAGCTTACCTTTGGACTTATTTAACTTAAAAGAGTATTTGGGGGAAAAAAAAAACACTGTAATTTGCAGTTTTATATTTTGTATACTTGAACTAACTCCTGATACAACAGCAGAAGAAGAAGAGGCAAAGTTGGCTGAGGTGAAGATGGAAAGTTAAAGAAGAACCAAGTTAAAGTTCAAAACTGTTTCAGTGGTGGTGAGACGCTTTCACAGGTAGCTGCCTAGCAAGAATTCATTGAGCTGAACTTATTCTTGTGAATGCCAGGCCAACTGGAGACTGAAGGCAAGGAGTCATGTTAACGTAGCTCTACTAATTTCCTCATTTTTCTGATGATTCACTAGGGAGAAAAATTAACTCTATCAAGAAGACTATTAAGTACCAAGAACCTCAAGAGTCCTCAGGGAGGAAAACAGGACGTACTCTTAAAGGCTTTGGCACTTATGGTATAGTCCAACTTTCCGAGACAGTAAGCAGGATCCAACTAGAATGTTCCTCCAGAGACACATTTTGGTAGGAAGCGCTGTGGGAGGAGTTTCAAAGCTAGGGAAGGCATCTGGCTTTTGATAACACCCTCCAGAAACATTCTTGCCAAGAACCTAGGCAGACGTACATCCTTCCATTCATTGCCAATCCCATCTATCTGGCCATTCGATACTTACAGGGCTCCTGATATGCACCAGAGCTAATGGCCATGCACAGCAAATGAAATGGGGAAGGATCCTGGGCAAGTGACAGTTCAGTGGGGCATATGCTTCCACTGGTTCCTCCTATTCTTTGTAAAGATGCCCCCACAAGAAACACCTAGAGCAAATGATCAGAGAATCCACCTCTCATTTACTCTGCCTCCGGGAGGAAAACAATAAAAGCTATCGAGTAACAAGTACCTATTAGTCAGCCCTACATATCTGCAGGTTTATATCTATGGATTCAATCACTATGGATCAAAAGTTAAAAAAACAAACAAACAAAAAAAAAAACTGTCAGATATGGTGTTGCCAGCCTAAAATCCAGCAACTCAGGAGGGATCACAAGTTCAAAACCAACTTCAACAAATTAGTAAGGCCCTAAGCAACTTAGTGAGAACCTGTCTCAGAATAAAAAATAAAAAGGACTGGGAATGTGGCTCAGTGGCAAAGCATCAGGGGTTCATTCACTCCCCAATACCTACTCTTCCCCCTCCCCCCCTCCAAAAAAAAAAAAAAAAAAAAACACCCCACTGAGCATGGTGGCTTGTAATCTTAGCAACTCAGGAGGATGAGGCAGGAAAAGCTCAAGGTCCAGCTGAGCAACTTGGCAAAACCCTGTCTCAAAATAGCAGGTTGGGGGCAAGGGGGACATTAGAGATGTAGCACCGTGGTAAGGCATCCCGGGGTAAAATTGCCAGTACCCTCTCCACCAAAATTGTGTTTGTATTGAACACGTACAGATTGTGTAAGAATAATTTATATTGTATTTGGTATTGTAAGTAATCTAGAGAAGATTTTAAAGAATACAGAGAATATGTGTAGGTTATATGCAAATACTATGCCATGTTATATAAGGGACTTGAGCAGCGAGGTGAGGGGGAGTTTGGGAACCAATTCCCCATGGATACAGGTGCACATGCCTAGCATATTCTTCACGTTTTACATGTATTTCATTTAGTCCTCCTTAACCTCATTTCACAAGTAAGAAAAATCAAGCGGAGACAGGTTAAGTGACTCCTCCAAGGTTACCTGGGTGACCAATGGCAGGCAGATTCAACCCCATACAGGGTCCATGCTTTTACCCACTCTTCTGTACTACCTGACCCCCACAACCTAATAACAAGCCCCCAAATCCAACAAGAGGTAGTTCAGTTTAACAAAAAGTCCTCTCAATTGGAGGTGATTTTGTAACCCTCTACCCCAAAGGACCCCTGGCAGTATCTGAAGGTATTTTTTTGGTTGTCAACACCAACAGAGGTGCTTCTGGCATCTAGGTATGGCCAGAAATGCTGCTCAAAATCCCATGGTGCACAGGACAGTGCCTCTTCCCCCAGAATTAGCCAGCCCCAAATACCAATGGTGCCTCCTGGGCTGAGAAACCCGAATTCAATAGCAGATCAAACGTGTGTGACTTCTAAGGTACACCCCTACGTACATGATGGTGGTGGCGCCGGTGACGGTGGTGCTCCACTGCCTTCAGCGTGACTTTGGTAGACAGCTTTCTGTAGGAGGAGTCCCAGGCATGGACCATAAAACTCGTCTCTGGTCTATGAAGCTGTAGAGGCCGTTTGACTGTGATCACACCGTCTGTGCCCACTTTGAATCGAGAGTCTTCAGAAAAGAAGGCTGACCTTGGTCGACCCGTGCATCCTTCAAAACTCACTGCAGGGCAGAAATCACAGTGATTAGGAAATTAGGATTAGGGCAGATTGAAGACAATCTTCTCCAAAAAACAAACTGGATTCACCCACAAAAGCGCAACTCACGTAAAACAGAAGCAAAACCATCACCGGGTGACACAACAAAGCTGTCCCTGGAATCAATATTGTCATTCAATTCTTCATTCGCAATTACAGGACAACTGCTCACTGTGGTTTGTTTTTTTCCTCATACTGTTTTGTCAAGTGAAAACAATATCTAATCTAGAAAGTAGCTTTTCTGTTTCAGTAATGATAACCAAAAAAGGGCACCTTCTTTGGATGGCTTTTGCCAGTGTGAAAACCTATCACTAAAATGACTTGAGATAGGATACCTACAGACTCCACAAGTTGGAGACCAAGGTACAGTGAGATGCTGTGTATAGCCTCCATTTAAATGAATAGTATCCATTTCAACAAACATCGGCAGATGCTAAGAGAGACAGTATAGCATAATGGTTAAGAGTAGACTCCAAGCTAGGTACAGTGGCGCATTCCTGTAATCCCAGCAGCTTGGAAGTCTGAGGCAGGAGGATCACGAGTTCAAAGCCAGCCTCAGCAACTCAGTGAGACCCCGTCTCTGAATAAAGTACAAAAAGGGCTGGGGATGTGGCTCAGTGGTTAAGCACCCCTGGGTTGAATCCCTGGTACCAAAAAAAAAGTAGACTAACTCAAGAGATTGAGGCAGGAGGGTCATAAGTTCAAGGGTAGCTGGGGCAACTTATTGAGACTCTCTCTCAAAATTAAATAAAAAGGGCTCGGGGTGTAGCTAAGTGGTAGAGTATTTGCCCAGCATGTGTGAGACCCTGAATTCAATCTCTAATATCACAAAAACAATCAAATAAAAGAAAGTAGACTCCATACCAAATTACCTGGGTTCAAGTCCCACCTCTGCCACTTACTAGCTCTGTGACCTTGAACAAGTTATTTAACCCCTTTGTGATTCAATCTACCCATCTGGTGGCATGAAAGCAACAATAGCAATTACATAGTAGGGTTACTTGAAGACATATAGAATAGTGCCTGGCACATAACAAATATTAAAGTTTATTAAAAAAAAAATTTAAAGCAAGCATAGCTTTGACTAATCACTGACTTAGCTCCCAGTATTATATAAAAAAAAAAATTGATAATAGTGAATATTTATTGAGTGCTGATTATAAGTTTATGATATGAAACAGAGAGCTAATTCCTACTTGCAATATGAGGCATGGAAGAGAAACTGGTCCTTGTCCAGAGGAGGTAATGAAGGTTTCACAGAAAAGATCTTCATCCTGATCATAAAGGGTGTTAAGACAAATGCAAAAGGAAAAGAAGGACTACTTGGATGGCAGAGTGCTATGATGAATGGCTTAGAGGAAAAACTACTTGAAGTTTTACATTTACTAAAGTACTAAAACTTTAAAAAGCATTACTCTCCAAAGCTGGGTAAACTGTGGTAAAAAAATTTCTACATGAAATATCAGAGTCCCAAAGAACTCATTCAACAAGTCTCCATCAAGCTATATGCCTGACATTGTCCTGGGCTCACTCAATTTTTTTTTTTTCAGTTGTCGACGGACCTTTGTTTTATTCACTTATATGCGGTGCTGAGAATCAAATCCAGTACCTTGCACATGCTAGGCAAGCACTCTGCCACTGAGCCACATCCGTAGTCCTGTCTTAAGACTCTTAAGGACAAAACATGAACAAGATAAATAAGGCGCCTGCTGCCATTGGGGCTTATGCCATTGAGGAAGAAAGGACAACACAGAAACCAAAAAATTCAAGGATTGATAAGTGATAGATACAAAGGAATTGAAATAAAAGAGGGTGATAGAAGAGTGAAGGGGAGGGGATGAGGTTGGGGAAGATAATCTCTTACATCAGATGATAAATGTGGGTCTTTCTCATGCGGGTATGTAAGTGGAAACCTGAAGAGTCAGCCTTCCAACAAACCTAGCTCAAGATCAACAGCTTTCCAGACTGGGCAAGGGGGCACACACTTGTGGTCCCAAGCTAGTAGGGAAGTTGAGGTAGGTGGATCCTTTGAGCCTAGAAGTTCAAGGCCAGCCTAGGCACAGTGAGATATATAGCTAGGTAGACAGACAGACATAGATGCAAATATATACATACATATGAAATTTCTAAATAAACAGATAAAATTTAAAAAGAAAAAGAAAAACATAACAAAGAACCTCTTAGGCAGAGGCAACAGTCAAAGACAGTTCATCCCAGGAAAACGTAGAAGTTAGCCTGTTTTCCTCTCTTTCAAATAATCTTCCCTCCTCCATCCAATGACATTTCTATTTTATCCAAGCGTTGTTTTATACAAATTCCTGCTGTCAGGCCTACTTTATAAGGCTAGATACCTCTATGCTCAGGAGGTCAGAAAGCCCCAAAGCTGCCCAGGATTCCTGGGCTGCAGTTCCCATTTCTTCCACCAGGGGACACCCTTGCAACCATGTCTGAAGCCCTTGCTTCATTTTCCTGCTCTTGCCAGATAAAATTAAGACCTTGGATGTTTGGGGGAGAGAAGAGCAATACTGTGATTATCCCCATTTTCAAAATGAAACCGAGGCTGAGAAGTTAAGAAATTACCTGACATCTCATACTAGTAAACAGCTAGTTATACTAACTGGAGCCACAACTGGGCCTTGAAGGCAACCAGAATATCACCCCAAAATATGCTTCTTTGACATGAATACTGAGCCAAAGGCACTTAAGAGGAAACAATTTTAAAAAGGTCTTTCTGAACTGCCCTTCCTTACCCACAGCCAGTCATAAAAATTCCTGGGAGAAGGCTGACCTGGACCTGCAAGATAGCCCTTGTCACCAGGGACTGGGAACTGATGTTGCAAGGATCTTTATATAAATAAGTTCATTGCCTTTTGGTAAGCTGAGGCAGGAGAATTGCAAGTTCAAAGCCAGCCTCAGGAATTTAGCAAGGCCCTAATCAACATAGCGAGACTCTGTCTCAAAAAAAAAAAAAAAAAAAAGTGAAACTTAGAGTGTTGCCACTGGATTATAAACCCAGATTTTGCCATCTTTTTGCTGGGTGGCCGTAAGCAAATGGCTCAACTTCTCTGAGCATCAGTTTTTTCTATTGTAACATGAAGGATACCACTGCTGGTGAGCCTACGCCCTCAGAATTTTGTGATGATGAACAAAACAGTGACACTGCTGCAGAGCAGTGCAAGAGATGATAGTTTGTGTGCTTCTGGACAGGCAAAACAGGAGTCTTTTCTAAATGCACAGAATAGCCACAAAATGACAATAGAAACAAGAGAAGAAATGCCAAGTCATTAAAGGATGGGAAGACACCCCCCCCCCTTTAAGTCTATAGTAGGAACTTCTTTTCAAATTATAAAAGCAAGATGCTTTTCAAAGAACCCTCACCTACCACCAGCGTAAGTAATGGCGCAACTAGGCTCTGTTTGGGGGCTTGTGTTGTAAGCAGTGAACAAGGGTTGCCCTGGATTCCTTTCTCTAGCTCGTCCAAATCTGGGCAGTGAAAGTTGAGACAAGCATGATTAGACTTGCCGAGGGTGGTGGCCTGAAAAAATGAAAATGGTTTTGCAAATAACTTGACGCAAGGCACTTAAGCTGCTGGGGCGTCTCATCTTAATGGTGGCTAAGCCTCACCCTTTGAGAAGTGACAGAGTAAGTGTGACAGGGAGCCCCAACCTGAATTTCCAAGCATTCATTAAGACTCATTATCTTTCTGTAAAACCGGATCCTCTGGGCTGACACATTGCAAATTACAGGAAAGACAGGGGCTCTCCAGCTCCAGAAGGCCCTGGGAAGCTCCCCTCAGCCCTGGCCAAGGCTGGGTGTGCTTAGCCTCTGTGCATTCCCAGCAGTAACAAGTGGGTGGTGAGGGCAAAATGGGAAGCCAGAGCGTCAGCACATGGGGACTGAGTATATTTGAACATTCCTATAATTAAAAAATGAACAAAAATCGAGACAACAGGAAATGGAAGAGTCTTTAACCCAGTCTGAAGGCCTTTCCTCAACCTGTTATTTGGTCACATGGACTAGAAACCAAATCTGAGACTCCATTGGCCATGTCTAAATGGGAAATTCTTTCTGCCACAAAAACATCACCACACCACCACAATCATGATCAAAAACTACCCACTCAGTCAATAGCTTCAACTGTTGCATTAAGATTTTAATTGTGTAAACGTTAACTAACACACCCTGCTCTATTTTAAGCACTTTACAAATATTAGCTTATTTAATACTGGAATTCTATGAAGTCAGTATACTTGGTGTCCTCTTCTTCTTACAAATGGAGAAACAGGTGGCTGACAAGTGGCAAAGCTGGGATTTGAACCTCAGCAGTCTAGAATCCATGCTCCCCAGGTGTCAGTCCTTGCCCTGAGCTCTATGTGTCTAATTTTTTGACTTATTCCTCACGGCATCATCAATACTATTTTCTTTTTCCTAAAATTATACAATGGTGAATGCAGGGGCTGAGCTGATTCACCCCAAAGTGAGGGCTTTTCCCGCTGTTCCTCCTGCAAAATGGGGGTGTACTTTTCAGCAGTAATTAAAAAGGAGGACTTATAATTTGGGCACGAGGCGCACTCCTATAATCCCAGAGACTCAGGAGTCTGAGGCAGGAAGACGGCAAAGTTCCGAGCCAGCCTTGGAAACTTTTAAGACCCCGTCTTAAAATCAAATAAAAAGGGGTGGGGGCGTACCTCAGTGGTAGAGAGGCCCTGGTTTTAATCCCCAGTACAAAGAAAAGAAAAAGAACAAAAGGGGGAAAAAAGGAAAAGATGGTCCAGAACAGTATGAAATTATATACCAGAAAGTTAAACTAGTAAGAATAGCTAGGCCCACATGCCTGCAATCCCAGACATTCAGGAGCTAAGGCAGGAGGATCCCAAATTCAACTTAATGAGGTCCTAAGCAACTTAGAGAGATTGAAAAACTATATATATAAAAAGGGCTGGAAGATGTGGCTCAGGGGTTAAG